CGTGCATACACACACTCGCACACACACGCACACACAGGCACACATACATGCACACACACACTCACACACACATGCACACACACGCACACACACATGTACAGGCACGCACACGGACGCACGTGCACACGCACTCACACGTGCACACACGTGCACACACATGCGCATGCACACGCACACACACACACACACACAGCCCTACGCAGAGATGGTTACAAAGTTTTCAGGATTCAGAGCAAAATGAAAATGCAAGGCCCCTTGTTCAGCAAGTTCCTAAGAATTTCAGACGGCAGGAGCCAAGGATTGAACCAGGGGCAGGTCTTGTGCCCCTGAAGCCAGCCCAGTTTTTCCCTCCACCTAATCAGTTTTGTTCTCACTTCAGCACTTGTGCCTCGTTTTTCCCTGGGATCAAGAAATATGATCATTGTTTACCCTGCCTCATTTGAGATAAGAAGTTTACCAAACCACTCATATCTCTGGGGAAGAGGTAATGAGCTCACAGACGCACAGTCTGTGACCTGGTGGCGGAAGGGCTGGTTTGGCCTTTGGCCTCCTGGAGTCCGGTGACTTGGAGGGGTTTCATTTTCTCATTGACAACTGGCCAGAGTCACATGGGCTTGCACGTCAGAGCCAAACAGGGATGCAGAGCTCTTCTCTGCCTCTCACGCATCTCCTGGGCCACATTCTCTGAAAGAAGTCTCATGCCTGACTTGGTAGGTCTCAATTTAGCCTCCTTGAAGTTTCTGGACAATGCACAGGTCTTGGCAGCCTCTCACAGACAGTCTTTGTTCAGGGACTGTGGACTCTCCAGCCAGAAGGCGAGACTTCCAGGACAGAAGCAGAGGGAGGGCATGGCTACAGAGTCTTGAAGAGGATTCGCTTGGCTCAGAACCTGCCTTTTACAAAAGTTGGGGCCTAAGTTTTCAGCAAGGAAAGGACAGGAAGGGAAGAGTAGACATCCAAAAGCAACTCACCGAAGACAGATCCTGGAGTCAATTTCCTTATCTCAGCCTCCCTCACTCCTGCTCTCCCTCTGACCAAGTAGGAGTTGTGCAAAGCTAGGGAATGCCTTGCAGACTTTCGAGGAAGCAGGCTTGGCTTCCTTTTGGAAGGGAGGACGCAGGCCAGTTTGCTGGGCTTATTAATTGTTCCCTTGCGGTTTGCAGCTGTCTTCATCTCTTTCTCTGTACAGACATGTCTCACACAGCCTTCAGAGCTACTTTTCCTCTAGAAAGCCTTCTGAGCCTTGGTCGGGTCGAAGGCTGCATTTGCTTCTCAGGGCTGCTGTCATAGAGCCCCACAGACTGTGTGTCCTACACAAGACAGGCATGTATTGTCTCACAGGTCTGGAAGCCAGAAGTCTGAGATCAAGGTTTCAGTGGAGTTGATTCCTTCTGCAGGCTGTGAGGGAGGATCTGTTCCACGTCTCTCTCCTAGCTTCCGGTGATTTGCTGGCCATCTTTGGCCATCTTGAGTTTTCTTTGGCTTGTAGATGCATCACTCAGATCTTTGCTTTGAGGATCATGTGGTATTCACCTTGTGTCTCTGGTTTCAACCCTCCCCTTTTTATGAGGATGCTTGTAAAGCCTACCCTACTCCCAGATGACCTCATCTAGCATCTTCAAGGAACCTATTTCCAAATAAGGTCATATTCCAAGGTATTGGGGGTTCAGACTTCAACATATGAATTTTGGGGAAGGCACCCAATTCAGCCTGTAACAGAAGCCATGGTGGGAGTGAGCACTACAGGTGAGATTTAGCAAGGTGGGTGCTGAGGGAGATGGGCCAGACCAGAGTGCCCAGAGTAGAACTAGAGGAAGTGGGACCCGGAGCTTGACAGGCACTGTGGAGCCAGGCTGTGATTGTCTTTAACCCCAAGCAAGCAAGTTCAGACCTGGTGTGGAAGGCAAGTCGGAGCCACTGTAGAGTCGTGAATTACATTGCGATACTGTAAAAACGGCATTTAGGGACAATGACACAGACAGTGGCATAGAGGACGGATTGAAAGAAGATGTCAGTAGAGTCAGGGAAATGAATTACAGTCTGGGCTATAGTTGAGAGTGGAATAGAAAGGCTTGGAGAGTTTTTAAAGGAAAAGAGGATGGTAGGATTTGATGACAACTGGATTCAGAAGATGACAGCATTAATGGCAGGGACCTGGATTGACAGTAGACTTCAGAAGGGAAAGGTGGAGGTTAGGTGGTCTGTGTGTGCATGTGTGTGCTTGTACATACACGAGCAGATGGAAGTTTTAGTTTGGGATGGACTGAGCTGAAATGGCATCTATGCCGTCTAAGAGGACACGTGCTCTATGATCAGCAAATGTTTTCTATCAAGGGCTAGTTCATAAATATTTTAGGATTTGCAGGCCATGTTGACTCTGCTGTAACTATTCACCTTTGCTATTATATTAGGAACACAGCTATAGACAATGTGTAAGTGAATGAGCATGGCTGTACTCCAATAAAACTTTATTTACAAAAATAGTCAGCACTCTGGATTTGGCGCAAGGGCTGTAGTTTGCTGACCCCTGCACTAAATAATGGGAAATATGATAAAATCACAGGTTATAAGGGAAAGAACATAGAAGTCCTTTAACAGCTGGTTTTGTGAGGTCATTTAGAATGATGAATGTTCAACATTCAGTGGGTATCTATAATATCAATGGGAACTTATTCACTTACTCATACACGCAACAAACACGTTATTGAGAATTAACGAGGGGCCAAGTGTGTTAACATGTTATCACAGTCACTCTCCACTGACCACTTTGTGAGTTGGGTAACTTCATTCGCTTTTTACAGATGAGATAATCAAATAGACTCTCAGTAAGGTAACTTGAGGCTGTTAAATTTTCCTCCTGACTAGGAAGTTTAGCCAGTCTCTAAGTGGAGGCCTTCCACTCAGTCAGGAAGGCTTTAATAGTTTGCATGAGGCGATGTCAAATTTAATATCTGCTTATATGTTGTCAAAGTTTCAACTCTGCACTCAACAGTTTTCAGGATAACTGCCCTCTGTGTTCTTGCTAGAGAGCAAGGTCTTGAAATTGTGTAATAGCTACAACCTGTCAAATACCTGAAAGGGAAAAATTGAGAGAAGATAATTTAAGGCTCATGTAATCTCATTTCTCTAGATTACCTATTTTTTAAAATTGATCAAGTTGATTGCGGTCCCCCACAGAATAACCTTCATATAATTTAAGACAAAGCATTGATATCTTTGTTATAATTGAAAATGCTTTCTAGATTTTGTTGTTTTAGCTGAGGATTATTATTGAAAATATTATTTATTACATCCCTCATACATTGTTTCTTATGAGAAAATTATCTCAGAATTTGACATAAGAATAATTCTTTCTCCTGAGAAGATATGATTCTGTTCCTCAGCCAGACAGAATCGTGCAACTAATTGTGTTTCCCTTTTTGATTGGATTTCCAGGAAGCTCAGAGCTAGGTTTAAGGCACAAAGACAATAGCTATTGTCACTTACCATCAAAGTACTTACGTTTTCCAGGCTGCATCACCTTTTTAGTTCCAATTTAATTAATTTTTTCATTTCCTCTCATAAGTTGCTTCAAATATTTCTTGGAGAGACATGAGTATTTTTCTTTTCTTTTTTTTCTTTTTTTTTTTTTTGAGACAGAAGCTCACTCTTGCAACCCAGGTTGGAGTGTAATGGTACGATCTCAGCTCACTGCGACCTTCACCTCCTGGGTTCAAGGGATTCTCCTGCCTCAGCCTCCTGAGTAGCTGGGATTACAAACACTGACCACCATGCCTGGCCAATTTTTGTATTTTTATTAGTAACGGGGGTTTCACCATGTTGGCCAGGTAGCTCTCAAACTTCTGACCTCCAATAATCTGCCTGTCTTGGTCCCTGAAGTGCTGGGATTATAGGTGTGAGCTATTGCGCCAAGCCAGAGATGAGTATTTTAAAAAATTAAATGTAATTGATTCACAATCAAGATAGAGAGTCTTTCAGCCGATCAAGATGGTATCTCAAGTTTCCTTAGACTTGGGGAAAAGTGTTGAAAAAGAGTTTCTTATTAAGAGCAGATGTTTGCTGGTTGACTCTTAGAGGACATTGGCATTTGCTCAATGATGACAAATTATTTCATATCTGTTGAGGGATCTTCCTAAATGGACTATTAAATGCATTTGCCTTACTATTAGGCAAGGGGTGAGGGGCTGAGGGCATGAAGCAGGCATAAGGTTTAGAGTTAGAAGATGAGGACTTGTTTTGATTCTGCCACTAAGTACTCTGGTGACTCCACGTAGGACACAGAATCTCCGCTGAAAAATTTTGAACGTCCCTTCAAACGTAGCTTTCTATAGGAAGCTGTTGTCTACCTTCCTGCTGCTGTCTGCCAATCACTCCCTTGCATATTTCCTCAAGTAAGTAAGTTTTATTTTTCTAGGAAGACTCTAAGCATCGGGGGGCAGGAGCTATGTCTAGGCTTGCATGTCAATTTATTTTTATATTCATTGAATTGTAATACCACCTTATTCCAGATAGATTCAAGGTGGCTTACAAAGATAAATGCAATAAAATAAGATAAAAATTTAAACTAAAGAAAAAGTGTTCATGTGGAAGGAAAACAGATTAAGACAAGAAAGATGAGCAGGTAGGTAGGTAGTAGGCAGGCACCTGTTGAATAAACACCAGTCTCCATCTGCCTGCAGAGAGCACACTTGGTTTCTGTACAAACACAAATTGCCTTGGAAACTGAAGCAAAGTGGAATAAAAGTGTGAAGAAATCTCTTTGATTAAATTAAATTTAACCATCACATGACGGGAACACAGCACGTCTTGACTGAGTGTTAAAAGTCAGGTGCCGTGTCATTGATCACTAAAGGTGTTGACTGAATGTGGCAAATGGAAATTCCTTAAGACAAAAAGGGCACCGTGGAAGTTTGGGAGAGATTTGCTACAGTGGGACAATGGAGAAGAAAGATTTTGCTTTAGCAGAAAAGTGTTCATGAGGAAGAAGTCTTGGTTCATTGATGGCTTCCTGTGGTTCCCAAAGTCTCCTTGAAAACAAGTGTCCTCAGGAAAATGAAGAGGAGGAGATTGGGAATCTAGAGCTTGCCTGGGATATGCTGGATTTAGCAAAGATCATTTTTAAAAGGCAAGAAACAAAAGAAGCCCAGCTTTATGCTGCCCAGGCGCATCTTAAACTCAGAGAAGTCAGTGTTGAATCTGAGAACTATGTACAAGCTGTGGAGGAATTCCAGTCCTGCCTAAACCTGCAGGAACAGTACGTGGAAGCCCATGACCGTCTCCTTGCAGAGACCCACTACCAGCTGGGCTTGGCTTATGGGTACAACTCTCAGTATGATGAGGCAGTGGCACAGTTCAGCAAATCTATTGAAGTTATTGAGAAGAGAATGGCTGTACTAAATGAGCAAGTGAAGGAGGCAGAACGATCATCTGCTGAATGTAAGAAAGAAATTGAGGAGCTGAAGGAACTGCTACCTGAAATTAGAGAGAAGATAGAAGATGCAAAGGAGTCCCAGCGTAGTGGGAATGTAGCTGAACTGGCTCTGAAAGCTACTCTGGTGGAGAGCTCTACTTCAGGTTTTACTCCTAGTGGAGGAGTCTCTTCAGTCTCTATGATTGCCAGTAGAAAGCCAATAGACAGTGCTTCCTCATCAAATTGTGTAACTGATATTTCCCACCTTGTTAGAAAGAAGAGGAAACCAGAGGAAGAGAGTCCCCGGAAAGATGATGCAAAGAAAGCCAAACAAGAGCTGGAGGTGAATGGAGGCAATGGGGATGCTGTCTCCAGTGGAAATGAAGTTTTGGAAAACACAGAGGAGGCTGAGAAACAGGCTGAAAGCCGAGTGGCAGTGGAGGGGACAGTGGAGGCTGGCGCTACAGTTGAAAGCACTGCATGTTAAGAGGGGGCAGAGCCTTCCTCCTAAGGGAAAGTGTTTTTGTATATAATGTATTTTTTCACTTTTGGAGGATTCTTTTTGTATAACTTCAATAAAGATTGAAAGCAAAAAAAAAAAAAAAAAGTGTAAGGCGCTGTTTTGGGAGCAAAGCAGATAGCAGAGAAAGTGCAAAACCAGGCAAAAGCAGGTTGGAGGAATTTAGCAAACAGCACTTTTTTTTTTTTCTTTTTTTTTTAAGGTGGGGTTTCACCGTGTTGGTAGGCTGGTCTTGAACTCCCGACCTCAGGTGATCCGCCCACCTTGGCTTCCAAAGTGCTTGGATTACAGGCGTGAGCCACCAGGCCCGGCCCAAACAGCACTTCTTGTGAAATTAGTGAGTCATAAGATAATATAGGGGGCTGTTCCTTTTTATGGGAAATATTCTCTGGTGAGCTCTTCAAGTGAAATATTCTCAAATTCTGTAATGCACTGATTTGAAAGATTTATGTAGCAAGAGGCCTTAACAGATAGAAGAAATCTGAGACTGTGGAAGTTGGCAGTACTGTCATTAATACTTCATTCGTTTAACAAATATTTATAGAGCCCTTACCATGTACTGGATACTGTGCCAATCACTTTAGGGAATGAGGGCAAATGAGCAAATAATGACTAATACACCATGTTTGTCTTACAGAAGCTCACATCCTAAGAAGGAGATGACATAAAATACATCCGATTAATTCATTAAAAGTACTTATTGAGCACCTATTCTATACCAAAACTAGTTTCAAGTGCTAGGTATGTAATGCAGAAGTAATATAAATAGGATCTGTTTTGAAATATTATGTGAGAAATCAGCAGGGTTTTTTTCCCTCTGTCTCAACAGAGAATTAACACAAAGATTTTGACTTCTGAGAACTGCAAAGGTTAAACAGAATTAGCGAGAGAGTGGAAATAGCATATAATAAAGCAATAGAAAGAGAAACAAGACACAACTTACAGGTTCCCTTTCACTCATGGGCAATTTCTTGGTAGACTTATTATGAGTACATATTTATCTACACTTGCATAAATAGTAGTATTTTCTAGCTTCTGAAGATTGAGGTCATTTGTTACCTAAAATAATGATCTTGTACCTTATCTAGTGGCAGAGCCTGGAAAAATGATCTAGTTCCAGGAGAAGAGGATCCAGAGATAGCAGGCATATATAGTAAATGTCAATAGACCCTGTGCCGCGTGTCTGTGGCAGGCATTACTAATAGATCACAGCACTTCTTGCTATGCCTGGGTGTAGCCTGACCATTCTCCCTATGAGAGAGTCCCAGGTGGCCAGAACTCATCTTGGCCTGTAAGACGAAACCTTTCTGCCCTCTGAAGGCCCTTTAAGTATATTCCAACCCTTTTTACTATAAGAAACAATTGAATACTTTGGGTTTCTTTTGGGCGTCTTCCTTGACTGTCTGTTACACTCTTGTTTCAAAGTTTGGTTGAAATTGCTGTCTGACAGTTGTTAAAAGGTGATGATAGAATATTTTTATAATCTCAGGACTTTCATAGCTTTAGGAAATAACAATTTTTATTTTTATAATATTCAGTAATTGAAATAATTTTATGTAATTACAATAACTTCTTTCATTACCTTCATGATCAATTCCTAGCAGGAATTAAACATGTATAACCTCCCATGCACTATACTGTGTGCTTTACATGCATATTTTATTTGATCGTCACAATAACCCTGTGAGGTAGGTGCTAGTAGCATCTTCTGAAAAGAACTTGCCGGTAGTGAGTAGTGAAACCTGAATTCTAGTTCCCGCTATTTGATGTCAGAACTGAAGCTTGTCCCTGCCTGCAGTCAGGACTGTTTGGTTCTCTCACCCAGGAAGTACGGCTGTTCTGCTCCATGAAAAAAAAAATGACCCTCTTCTGGCCAGGCCCTGTGATCCCAGCACTTTGGGAGGTTGAGGCAGCAGATGACAAGGTCAGGAATTCAAGACCAGCCTGACCAGTATGGTGAAACCCTGTCTCTACTAAAAATACAAAAATTAGCCAGGTGTGGTGGCTTGTGTAGTAGTTCCAGCTACTCCGGAGGTTGAGGCAGGAGAATCGCTTCAATCTGGGAGATGGAGGTTGCAGTGAGCCAAGATTGCACCACTGCACTTCAGCCTGGGTGACAGAGTGAGACTCTGTCTCAAAAAAAATAAAAAAAGGCCCTCTTCTTTATAAAATCAAAGGCATCATCTAAATTTTCAGGAGAAAGAACAGAGCCAAGCAAGCCCTGAAACATATTCCATCTTCTTCTTCTTCTTTTTTTTTGGATCATCGTATAGTGAGTTTATTTGTTCTCTAAAATAATATCAGCATGCACCTTTCCACTGAGTGACTTCATGGTCATGGCCAACATAGAACTTGGATAGGAAATCCTTTGGCCTTGGCTCTTCTGTTTCGTAACATGTGTCCGCTGCTTCCATATTGTAATAGTTTCTTTCAGTTCCATCTTTCCCTTAATGACCAGAAGATCAACCACCCTGGGGTCTGTGACGTGGGCATTCTTCACAAACATTTCTCGGACTTTATCCCCGTCCCTGTTTCACAGTGATGTGCAGCTGGAATAAGTGCACAGGGTGCGGCACCTCCCGATACCAGGCGCAGTAGAGCTCATGCACTGTTCGCTTGGCCTCATTCATGTCCCGACTGAAAATGGGCTTCACAGAGGTGCTGGCGTAGCTGCAGCTCGGCGGAGGCCAATCCCCGCAAGCGGAAGCAGGGGAAGTGTCTGTCCTCAAGAGTTAGCGGCTAGTCCAGGACTGGCATCTTACACCCCTGCCCTCATGGTCTTCACTGCCCATGGTCATGGCCGTGACGCGAGTCAACAGCTGGCACAGAACAGCGGGTCTGGAAGAAGGTGAGTAAGTGGTTGGACCACTAATATATTTTCCTTCCTCCAGGGCTGTTGATGATTAACTGATTTGAATTTCAATTTTCGTCCTGTCCTCTACTCATTCTGGGGTAAGATGGACAAGAAGTCAAGGTAGGCATAATTAGAAAAGAGAAACAATAGTCATGGACCCAAAGAAGCATAATTCCCAAACAATCAAGAATTGACCCTAAAGAGGAAATACATTATTTTCTGAACAAATATTCACAGGGTTAAGATGTGGATTGAATGAGATAGTACAGGAAATAGTAAAAACAATACTATTTCTTGAGCTCTTGCCACATGCTGGGCACCTTTTAAAGTGCATTATATGGATTTTTAAGAAAAGTGTATGACTAGGTAAGGGAGAGTTTATTTTTTTTTCTCTTTTAGTTGGGGAAACTGAGGATCAGAGACATTATGACACTTGCCTAAGGTGATACAGCTGTAAAGGGTCCACCCAGGTCAAACCACAATTCCACTTAGACTCGTAGTTAATCTGTTAAATTTGACCTATGTGAAAATGGTCTATAAACTATCAAGAATCAAAGAGTGAATTCGTCATGCAGTTATTAAGTTTAAGCTTCAGGAACCCTGGGTAGGCACGGTAGCTCATGCCTGCAATCTTGGCATTTTGGGAGGTCAAGACAGGTAGATCATCTGATATCAGGAGTTTGAGACCAGCCTGGACAACATAGTGAAACCCCATCTTTACCAAAAATACAAAAAATTAGCCAGGCATGGTGGCAGTCGCCTGTAATCCCAGCTACTCAGGAAGCTGAGGCAGGACACTTGCTTCGACCTGGGAGGCAGAGGTTGCATTGAGCCAAGATGGTGCCATTGCACACCAACCTGGGCAACAAGAGCAAAACTCCGTCTCAAAAAAATTAAAAAAAGCTTCAGGGACCCTCACTTGCCAGGGCCTTTTCTAAGACCTTGGGAGTGGCCTCATTAATATTTATTTATAATTTTGTATTTTTTAAACGTAAAGAGCCCCAACCCCATCAATTACGTAAACTTTGGGCCCCACAAAACTTGAATCTGCTCCTGAAAACACCATCATATTCTAGGCTAGATGGTCAAATGGTCCTTCCATTCCTAACACCTACCACCCCATGGGGAACGCGAGATGAGTAGAGCCTTCTTTTTTCTTTAGTATGATTCATCATTCAAATTCCTGGTGTTTCCCTTTTCTGGAATCTCATTTTATTTAGACACCAAGCTGTGTTGGGGACCAACAGCTTCCAGCCACTCCGCAGAAAAGTATTAATCTTTTCTCTGGCATCTCACATATGACATCGCCAATGGTGTGTTTGCAACCCCTTGTGAGAACAGCCAATCTTCTAATTATAGTAAATGCAGTCAAAAAAAAAGAGCTTAGATTTTTCAACAAACAGCCATGAATTCTGCATTTGCGTGTCATTCTCTGAAGTCATCTTTTTCTGAGTCATGGATTATAAATTATCAATTTAGATCAAGCCACAAAAAGCACTGTATTTTGTTAATTTGGGGCTTTTGGGAAGGGCAAAAGAATTCTAGTCAAATATCCTAAGAGATTCTGCACTCTCCAAAGTAAAACATCTTGGTAAGTCACTAATAGTTCTTGAGTGACTACCCGTTTAGGACAAGAATATATTTATGCTAAGTGAACTGACTACATTTCTAGAGCTGTGACGATGGAGAATATATGATTCCTAGAAGATTCAACAAGTACTTGAAAATGTAGAATTAATGTAATACTTGGTTTGGAAACTAATTTGGACCATATGATTATTGGGACAAGACATATATTTTATCTTCTATAAAAAGAAACCCAGGTATGTGTAAGGGAGTATTCATTTAAGCAAAATTAATGTCACTAATAATCCACGTGACTTTAGACTGCAATGACGATACTCATGATAAAAGCACTATTGACGACTGTTTACTAGCTCAGGTACTGTGCTAAACGCCTAATATCCATTAGCTCACTTAATCCTTACAGTCTGTCATTGTCCCCATTTTTCAGATGAGGACACCGAGGTCAAAAAAAGTTGAGTGACTTGCCAAGGTCGTTTGGTACATCATGAACCTGACATTTGAGGAAGTCTGTCTGAGAGCAGAACACAAGCTCTTACCCACTCTGCATGCTGTTTTGCCTCTTTGGGGCTCAGCTTTCCTGTCTGCAAAATGAAGGGTTTGGCCTTCCTGATCTCTGCCATCTCTTTCAGCTCTAAAGCTC